AGAAGTCCACATGCTCTTCAACCATTCTACCTTTTATTGGCCTACAAAAATAGGGAGAATTATGTGGAGATGTGCTTGTGTTGCTTTGATTTGGACTCTTTGGGAAGAAAGAAATCTTAGAATCTTTCAAGAAAAGGAAAGGAGCAGCTAGGATTTGAAAGACTATGTGTTGAATAGGGCAATACATTGGTTGAAGACCTTGGAAATCTTTCATCAATTCTCCTTTAATGACYTYTGGAGAAATTGRTCAKCAGTAGCRAGGTGYTCATCTCTAAAGGACAAATCAATTACAAGCTGGTCTCCTCCATCCGAAGGCTCACTAAAGTTGAACTTTGATGGAAGTAGCATGGGTAATCCAGGTTTATCCGGAATGGGGGGTGCTTTGAGAAATGTGAAGGGAGAGATTTTGTTGCTTTACTCAGGTCCCTTGGGATTTGGGAACTCCATCAGAGCAGAACTTTTAGCTGCTGTACAAGGGGTGCAATTTGCAAACCAGCTGGGGGTACAACAACTAATAATCGAGGGGACTCCAAAGTGGTGGTGGGTTGGTTGAAAAATTCTGAAGAGGCTATGTGGCGATACAAGAATGAAATGAAGAAATTYAGTTGGTTGACAAGGAATATGTTGGTCACTGTATAGTGGGTGGGGAGATCAGCAAATACTTTGTCAGATATGTTAGCTAAGAAAGAGGTGAATAGAGAAGAATTATTTTGGGCTCAGTTGTGATTCTTGTTTTCCTTTCCTAGTTTACTTGTAAGATTCAAGGAGGGGCTGCAGCTCGCGCCTCTCGCTGGGATGATGTATGAACTCACTCTAAATTTGCTTCTAAATCAATAAATTTATTATTATTCATCAAAAAAAAAAAACTAAGTATTAACTAGGTCGACAAGTCACAATGTAGTCAACCACAAAACCATTTTATTGTCTTATTTGCTTATTTATATCTCATTATTATAAATAATATTGAATTTGTTTGCGTTTTATTCTATCCATGTTGTTGCTTCAAATATTGTGATGAAACATTGTTGGATGATGGTATAAAAAATAGAAAAATGCATAAAACAAAAAAAAAGTGTCAGTGGAGGAGTTCTTTAAAGTATTCTTCCGACCTACAAGGTGCCAACCAGCTGGTTGGTAAAGTCTCATGCAGGTCGTAGCAAAGACTTGGGATCGAAACCCGCCTGCACCTGGGTTGGGGTATGTGTAGCCCTTCAAAAGAAATTAAAAAAAAAAAGGAGTATTCTTCCAACCCGTGATATGTTGGTAGAAAGCTGCCATAAGAAAAACCTTTTCTACCACTTGTTTCTGCTTCCATTCCATTCCAAACAAAGCCTCGAAGAAAAAAATTATATTCCTTTGTTGAAAGACATACTAAGGTTCAACTAATCATATGCTTTGTCTAATTAGATAATTTTCTCAATCAATAACAGAAGCAATTTTATTAATAAAGATCAATTAAGTGCAAAGGAGAAGGGGAGAAATAAACTCTTAGCCCTCCCCAAAAAAAATTCAAATTACAACATAGCCCTAAAGAAAGTGTCACCTCCACCCAATTAAATGTCACCTCCACCTCCTGTAAGCCTCATAATTTTCCTTTTCTCAATAGATGTAGCACCACCATCCAACCTCCTCTTCCTTTTGAAGCCTCGAGTCTCCTCCAATTGACAACTTTCGGATATTCAATTTTTTAGCCCTTTGAATCCCTTCCAATACAGCCAGAATTTCAGCCTTCAATGAATCACCTACCCCAATTGGGCCTCAATGGATTGCAATGACTTTTCCCTCCCCACTTCTAAAGACTCCACCAATGCCAGACAGACCCAAATTACCTTCACTGCTGCCATCAAATTTGAGCTTAATAAATCCCCCAGATGGTGGCGCTCCTTTCAAGGAAAAGAATTAGATACACCCCTCCATCTCCTCATTACCTCACCCCCACAAATGTCTTGAAGAGTTCCAAAGACTTCACCCAATGAACCACTCTAATGGTGATGGCTTCAATGATAGCCTCCCTACTCTATTTAAAAAGATTCTTTGGTTCCAATTAGATCATTTTTAACACAATTTTCCTTTTTATGGGAGTTGTCTAGGTAATCCGGGCCACTCAGGCATAGGGGGTCATTAGGGATGAAGAAGGAAACATCGTAGCTTTATACTCAAGACCTGGTGAACAAGGTGATGTGTCAAGATCAGAACTATTGCCTACAGTATATGGGGTCGAAAAGGCAAAAGAGTTGGGTACTAATAGACTGATCATTGAGGGAGACTCGAAAACTGTTGTGAAATGATTGAAGAAGGGGGAGGGGTGAATGGCATTTGAGGAATGAATTCAGGTGATTTAAATGGCTATCAAAGGACATGACAGTCCGAGTCAAATGGGTGAGGAGAACTGACAACACCTTGGCAGATGATCTAGCTAAGCAAGGGGAACAAAGAAATCATCTGTATAGGGCTCAATTGTAATTCTTGGGTTGGGTTAGCTTTTCTAAACTCTAATGCTGTGTTCATTTTTTTTCACAACCCCTTGTTGTAACCATGCTTTCTTCTTATTAATGAAATCATTTCTGTGTTGCTGGTCAGAAAAAAAAAATCTTTTTAAAACAATCATTTTGTGTTGTGTCCACCTTCCAGGTTTCAGCAACTAATCTAACACATTCTCCATGTTGAGAATCAAGATCCATTCAGCCTTAAGTGGTTGTGACTGTGGCCCCTAAAGAGAGAGAGAGAGAGAGATTTTGTGGCATGAGGTGGTAGGAAGCATTCATGGTCGCTCAAAGAATGAATGGGATGCTGGTATATCATGGCGAGCAAATTTGGCAACACCGTGGAAGGCAATTCACAATATTCTTCCTCAATTTCTCAGCTATGTTAGGTATGATGTGTGTGTTGGCAAATGTGTCCTCTTTTGGGAGCATATATAGGTTGGAAATGTTCCCTTAAAAGACCTTTCCCCTTCCTTATTCTCTGTTTCTCAGTACAAGAAAAAAGAGTTTGTTTCAAAATTTTTCTCCTCGCTAGAAACTCCTTGGGCACCAAACTGGGATTTCAGGTTCTGTAAAGGTTTAAGGAAAGAGGATATTGAGTGTTTATCCATTTTGTTGAACCTTCTTGAGAAAGTTTGTTTGGCTCCCTCTGAACCAAACAAAAGGATTTGGACCCCCTCAATCTAAAAGGTCTCTTTTGTGCATCTTTCTTCAAGTCCCTTTACCAGTCTCACTCTCAGCAGGTCTTCCCTGTTAAGTTTGGTGCAAGCCTATTTCCCCTGAGGATATGGCTCTCTGTTGGGAAGTGTACTATGAGAAAGTAAACACCTTGGATAATCTACAAAAGAGAAGACCTTCCCTTTGTTTTTCACCTAACTGGTGTATTGGTTGAAGGGGGGGAGTCCAAGGTGGTACAGAGTTGGCTGCAAAACCCAAAGTCTATAGTGTGGTGCTTCAGGAATGAAGTAAAGAAGTTCAAGTTGCTGATAAGGAATTTATGTGTAAGATTATGGGTGAGATCAGCAAATGCTTTGGCTGATTGCCTAGCCAAGCAAGGGGGTAGCTAGGGAACTTTTGTATTGGGCATAATTGTAGTTTGATTTTGTTTTCTACTTTGTTCGGAGAGGATGCAGATCATGCCTCTCCAAGGGTTGCTTGTATTAGCTTATCTTTTTCATCTAATACAAGAATTTATTTATCAAAAAAGAAAAGATCCATAACAGCCTTAAAGTATCCAATTTACGCAAAATCAGTTCTTACGTCATATTTTTTGAATTCAGAAGCCCCATTGATCTGCAACCACCATTCTCCAATATGACAATAGCACACTCTGTATATTTCTTGGAAATGGCTCTATGCAGCACGGATTCACCTTCATCATCTACTGCATTGGGATCCGCTCCTGCCAATAGTAACTCCTGTGATCATCAAAGACAAGTTGAGTGAAATTTCAAACCAAATTAGTATAAGCACAACAAGTAGGTACATTAACTGAATTAGAACCTACACGCATGCAATCTGGTTGGCCATGGTAAGCACAAACATGAGCAACAGATGGACCAAGACCCTCCCTCATACCAGATCCGACATTAGCTGATCTTCTAATGAGAGTACGAACACATTCTGGGGAACCAGCTGCTAAAGCAAACATTATTGGAGGATCCCCGTCTTTGTCAAGGATGTCCACATCTGCCTCTTTGTACTCCAAAATAGCTTCAACAAGTTCTACACAACCCCGTCTACAAGCTAAATGCAGGGCAGTTTGGCCATCAGCATTCTGTGCTTCTAATAAAGATTCAATAGAGCTGCTAATGCTTCCAGATGCAGCCTTTGCAAGCAGATTTCTATGGATAAAAATGAGGAAAAATAAGGTCAGGCAAAGAAACAAAGAAGTCTTAAAAGAAATATGCAATAGAAGCAAAAGAATACACCACATTAGACTCACCTAACACCATCCAAATCCCCCTCTGAAACAAGTCGATGTAAATGATTGCGGTTATCCAGGAAATTGTCCAAAACAGATCTAGGCGACGGTTCCAATGCTCCAGGACATTTGGCAAATTCACTAAATTTCACAAACAAAACAGATAAACTTCATGCATTGAGCGAAGATAAAGTTCCAGGTAGGGATGATCATTTATGATCCGGCCTGGCCTGCAAATTTCCAGGCCTGGGCCAAGCAAGCCTTGGGCCCGGTTGTTCCACCCTGGCCAGGAAATTATTGTATCTAATATAAAGTATTATATCTTATATATGTATAATATCTTACATTCTTTTGATAATATTGTAGTATTTACATACATGGTATTATATTTTACTTAATATATATTTATATAAATGTAGTATGTACGGCCTGTATATATGGTATATAATATATTATTATATACACAATAACTTTTTAAATATGTTTTTCTGTAACTATGAACATAAAGTTATATTAAAATTTTAATTTTAATTCATATGGACCAGCCCTCATGTCCGGCCTGGCCCAGCCTGGGACCAGGCCCAGGGTGCGGACCGGGGCAGGCCTGGATAGACCTTAATACTGATGATACCCTATAAAAACCCAGCCCATGGTCATCCCTAGTTCCAGACAAGGATAGACGGAATGACTGTTAAGATGTTCCATGGTAGTGAGAGAATCTTTCAGGTAATTATTCAAGGAGGTAATGAATTGATCTTATCAGATAAATTATATTAATTCTTCAGAGAAGCAATGAAGTTCAAATAATTGCTGAAGGAAGCAAAAGTACAAAACCACAGAATCAATAGCTGCTATCTCATTTGCTTCAGCAATCTCATCAGTGCTATACAATTTAATGTTTATAGACAGCATTGGAGGTTAACCCAACCACTGCAGCAGAATGGTCAACCTCATTAGCATTTGCAAGCATATTCAGGTCAAACCAGTAGCATTAAATGGTCTCAAGTCAAATAAAAAGTGAATACCTATATGTCCAGGTCTAGCTCATGGGTGTAGCTAACCATGTTGGTCACTTCAACAGTTTGGTCTGATAGTTAACATGGTTTCAATATGTAACAAGAGATGGAATCAGAAAGAAAACCTTTTAAGGACCTTTTCGGTGGTCAGCTAGTCTAACAAACCAAGCAGGGATTCCAAAAACAAATCATATAATTGATCACTTTATTTGTTAACATCACCAAAAAAAAGTTAGATGAAGTAGCAGATGCAACTTCTTACTTATCAGGGCTTGCAGGAGGGCTACGAGGTATCTCTTGCAAATGGCGAAGGAATATTTCAAGCATTCCATGAAACGTTGGCCTTCTGGATGCCTTAAATTGTAAGCACTCACCAATCATCTTCCAGAGTTCCCTAGGTATCCCAACACCTACAACACTTGCATATTGCGGAGGTTGCCGCCGTGCCTTAACTACTGCACGATATATTTCCTCTGAACTTAAACCAGACCACCTGCATAAACCATCATCTTTTATTAATAGTTTATATTTACAAGGTGCCAGAATATGGAAGAAATCTGGTACAACACATACGGGGTAGAACCAGTGCACATTTCAACCAGGGTACAGCCAAAACTCCAGGCATCTGATTCTGCAGAAATACCAATTGCATCATCCCAGAATAAGTTTAATGATTTTTTTAATGGCTCCCATGCTTCAGGAGCTGTATAGTGTGGACTCAACATTGTACAGTCCATGCATGAGTGCACTCTTGAAGGGTCATCCTCAGGAGCTGACCGAGCTTTTCGACAAGAAGGCTTCTTCAGTATCGCCGGAAGCCCATAATCAGAAACCACAGCACGACCACTTGCATCCAAAAGAAGATTAGATGGCTTTATATTCATGCAGACAATACCTGCCGCATGTAGTTCAGCCACCCCTCGTGCAATATCTGCCCCATATCTGGAATCAAGAAATATTCAGTTGATAAGAAGAAAGGACTCACCCCAGGGCCCAGAGGTGGATATAACCATTTAAGTTCACCCAAAAATGTCTTGCCCAAATAATTTGGACAAAAAAAGAAATTTTGGAGAAGGAAATGCAGAACCCATCATCAATCAATAAAGTGTATACTTCATAATTACAAGATTTTGCTAATAAATAGCTGGAATTTGATTCACGTTAGCATTGTTTTATAGGCAACTAGTAATATGGATGATATGTGAAAGAAAAATACAATAACTTTGAAAAAAAATGATCCAGAAAAACTATACCTAAAAAACATGAAAGATGCATCAAGTCCAAAAAAATTACAATATACTCAGCCCTTCATCACACTCAAAAAGACATACATCATCATCCAACCAGTATCCCAACTTTACGGGGTTCGCTACATGAATCATGTTTCGCCATTCCGTTCTGTTTGTTTGATACAATGAATCAAGTTTTGCCATGGTGAAACATGATTCAATGTGTGTTTATTGAATAAAATTTTACCTTACTTTTCTCAAAAAAAATTCATTGTGTGTGTATCAAACAGAATGTAATGGTATCTCCTTAGGATCAAAAATTCTTTTGCTTCTTTCCTTCCAAATACCCTAAAATACCACAAAGGATGTGATACTCCATAGGATTAATCCTTCTTCAAACCTATATCTTTTTTTTATCAAAAACTGAATTTCATTAAAAAATAAAAGATATAAAGGTGTACAAGCATCCAAGATCTGGTTCTTCAAACCTAGATCTTGGCCAATATTGAACAATGAGAAGCATTCAAGAGGGCAGCTGCCAAATGACTTTGAAGATTAAAAGGAAAATTACCAAATGTTCTTTGAGACCCAACAAAAGCACAAGGCCAATGAAGTGTTTTTCTCCACAGTAATGAAGAGATAGATTTTATTGTCCATAGGATTAATCCTTCTTCAAACCTATATCTTTTTTTATCAAAAACTGAATTTCATTAAAAAAGAAAAGATATAAAGGTGTACAAGCATCCAAGATCTGGTTCTTCAAACCTAGATCTTGGCCAATGTTGAACAATGAGAAGCATTCAAGAGGGCAGCTGCCAATTGACTTTGAAGATTAGAAGGAAAATAACCAAATGTTCTTTGAGACCCAACAAAAGCACAAGGCCAATGAAGTGTTTTTCTCCACAGTAATGAAGAGATAGATTTTATTGTCCATAACCATTCACAAGACATTGAAGTGATTCTATGATCCATCTTCTCTTCCTTTGCAATGCCAGACCCACTGAAGCAAGCCTATGAGACCACATATTCTCTTATCTTGACTCATGAATAAATTATAGCGCTTTAAAAGCATTGGCTAGAAACTGCATGTCATCCATTATAGCCTTGTTCTTCCATGAGCTCAATTTACTGGTGTGATTCATTTGGCCATTTGGGTGATCCGGTGATCACCATTCCACAGTCCCCACATAAGCACCATGGAAATATTTTTACTATGACTTCAATTGTCAGAAATTATCTCCCCACAAGAAACGTCTAATGTTTCAAAAGGTGTAGGAGGCGTATGCCTGGAGGCATGCCCTAAGGAGATACCATTCCTTCTTCAATTAAGATAAGCAAAACAAAAGGAAAGATCCCCCCCTCCTTTTCAGCTACCATTATGCATCCTCATTCTTCTTGATACAAGACATCTTTCATCAAAATAAACAAAAAATAAATAAATAAAAACTCTTCCTCCTTCCACCTTCCTCTTCCCTCTTCTTACTCCTCTAGAAGAGGTTTACACCTCTTTCTTTCTGAACTGTGTGTCAAACCTCCAAAAAATCAACAAGTCCATTTAATCATCCGATGCTGCTTTGCACTGTCCTTATCAGCCAAATGTTCAAGCCCGATCCATTGGGATCAGGACCTATTTGATAAGAAAGCTGCCCTTGCATCAACACGAAAGAAATTTAAGATCTACTAGAGTCATTGTACATCTTTTCTTTCTTTCAATTATACTTTTTAATAAAAAAAAAAAAAAAATCCATAAGATGCCCACATGATCAGAGGGTCCAGGAAGAGAATAGAGATCCTCAGAGAGGTTTAAAAGGAATATTAAGATGTGGCTTACAAGCTTGTAAATAAAGAGTGAAGAGGGTCTCTTTTTCGTCAAGATGTCCAACCTCGAGAACAGATGATCACTCATTGGATGTCTTTGGCATGGAGGGTATTTGGAGTTGGTACTCCACCCATGATGTTCACTCCATGCGCTGCTTCAAATGATGGTGATCAGGATCAGAGCAACATTTTAAAATCCAGACTGGTGGCTGACCTGTTCTTTCTGGATGATGGTTCACCAGTTCGTCTGGATAACAGGTCAGGTATTGGATTAGAAATATTAGGTTAAACTTTTACCATATGCCCATCTTTAAGTAAGATAAGAGAAACAGCTGAGAGTGAGAAGAAGACAGGTTTGCCCTTGTTGACTGAGAGAAAGATTGCCAACTGTGGCAAGAAAGCATCAAGTTCATAGATCCAGCATTGACTACCATAGTTTAAATCACAGTTTGCAGAAACAAGAAGAATGATCTCTATGTTCCCAATAAAATTATCCCCATAGAATAAAAGGTAAACCTGAGCCATAATCTTTTATTATTCTTTGTACATCCACAGACAGCTGATCATAATAATCATATATGCTGATCATAATAGTCATGTTTGCTAACAGCATTGGCAACGCTGTTAACTTCCCAAAGAGTGTACTCATTCTAATATTCATCAAACATCTCAATTTTCCTCTTCCAATACCAAAGCTTCCAAGGTGCTTCCATTTCACGATGATGTAAAGCAACTGTGAATCCACAACCATTTCCAACTGTCTGATACCCAAAGTATATGCAAGTTCAATACCCACCAAAGCTGCATTTTCTTTATTATATTCGTAGTTTCTCCATAATAACTTGAAAAGACAGCAATCATTTTATTCCTACCATCATGCACAATAGCCCCTCCACCTATGCCAGGGTCCCCTTTAGCCGTACCAACAGTTTTTTTCCTAGATCAGTAACAATGAAACTTTTATTGACTAGTATGGATTAAAAGGTACATGAGAAGCAGCAGCATGGTCAACCTCAACTAACAATCCATAGAGACAATATTAAGTACAACTTCCCCCCTTGTTCTATAAATCCCAAGTACATGAATTCCTTGTAAGTTGTAACCCCCTGTTTTGCCAACCCATCTGCTAGACCATTAACAGACCTTTGTATCCACTATATGGTCGTTTCCAGTTCCTTTATAATTTCTTTAGCTTCTCTTATTTCATATGTATTTCAAAGGTTCATCTTCATTGCTTGCCACCCAACCTGTTATGACCTTCGAATCCCCTTAAATTACTATATTTCTGAACCTCACGAATTTAACCTTCCTCAGCCCTGCCAGAACAGCCTTCAAGTCTGCTTTAGTTGAATCCCCTACACCAATGGGAGCAGAATACAGCAGCATCAGCATAATGTTTCACAAATGGTTTCTGACCACTCCTCCTATACCTGATGGACCAGGATTTCCCAAGCTACTGCCATCAAAATTCAGCTTGAAATGAAGTGTCTGTGATGGACACCAATCCACTTGTAGTATTGACCTGCTTGGGGTAGATTCCGCAACCTCTTTAGTTTTTCCAATTTCTTATGATGTCATCAGTTGTATAAGAGTCAAACTGCTCTAAGTTTTAGCCCAATGTGCCACTTTGATGAAGATATTATCAATGATTGACATTAATTTATTCTTCTTATCATTGAAGAATGAATACCAGCTCTAAGCTGCACCATCAGTGTTCAATTTGTAATATTCAGCCAGCAGAGGATGATAAATACCAGCCCCATTTTCTTCTGATGCACCCCTTGAACATGAATCCCCATGACTTCCAAGGATGATTGTTACACCTTATTCACATTGCCATGAAACTCTTTTGAATTACATAACTCATGCCACCATTATTCTACACTTTAGTGACATAGTAGGAACACTTGTGTTTCTTTTCCATCCTTCTGTTTACTTCCTTCCAATTTTCCTATTTAATACTACACACACAAACCATTGGTTGTTGTTAGCATCAGCAATATCAGCCCATCTCTTTAACCTCACCCAAATAGATTCAGCTGGTATTAAATCCACCCCCAAAATTCTACTAAATTACTTCCAGACTTTCTTGATTAAACCACTTTGAATGAATAAGTGGTTCAAATTCAATGTTTCAAACTGGGCCATTCTACAACAAACACACTTAAAAGCAAATAGCTACCCCAACTTTTGGATTTCAGCATCAACTGGCACTCTTTTTATAATTAATTTTCAGCTGAAGAAGGATATTTTTGTTGGTAAAGATATATTCCAGACCCATCTATACCAATCTACTCTTGGTGAAGGATATTTTTTCATTAATTTCCAGTTATTGCTCACTCATGGTGTGTTTGTATTATCCATTACAGATCTCTGTAGTAGAACTCTACATTATTTATCAAAGATGAATTAACTCTTAAATATTTTTCTTAACATTTCTACAAGTAATTAGATTGCACTGATCAAAACAGAATGGAAGCCAAATAGAACTAGAACATAAAGGCATTGTTGGTGTATACCATTTTTAGCAAAAGAAACATCAACCTCTATTTGACATTTCCCATAGCATGGCAACACTTTTCAACGTTCAGCAAAATACCTAACGCTTTCAACCAAAACATACCAAATGTGGGAGTTTGGCAGGGTCAACCAATATGAAATTTAAATAGAATAATCATTGAAAAGTATTATTACAGTTTGTATTGACATAATTTAAAAACAAAACTAGTAATATATTAAACAGAAGTGAATATTTTATTTTTATATAATGTAACATGGTTACTTCCTCACAACCTTTCCAGGTGTCTGGATTGTGCGTTACAAGGAAATAAGGCATCAGTAATAGATATTCCGAAACCTATCAATATCTTTATTGGAAATTCTTAATACAACATAATATCCAGCATAACATGTTATATCCATCTATTTTTCCGATTGGTGAAGTTGGTAATATTGTATTAATATCAAAAAGTAAGAAGGGCCACCACAAATAGGTGCAACGCACAAGTAATGAAGTATATGTTTTCAGCCAATGTACATCATTTACATCAAATCCCCCTATTTGGAATCAAAGATATCTTCCAATAGTAACAAAGTGCGACAAAGCTTAACTTAACCAATGATTTAAAAGGTGAGGCGCATTTTAGGGTATGCACCTCACCTAGGTCCTAGGCACAGCCCTTTCAAAAGGGGCACTCATGGTGCACCTGATGCATCTTGCACCTCAGCCCAGGCATGCACCTTTTGAAAATTTCACGCTTTTTTGCTCCTTTTGAACCTAGCAATTGGGCACGCCCCTCAAGGCAAGCAAGAACCCCCTATTTGCTAATGTTGTTCATTCATTCATCCTAATAAAATATCTTCTTAAAAAGCAATTAAAATTATAAAATCATTATTTTTTGTGCAAGAACTAAGAATTTAAGACCCTAACATGGACTTGTTTGGGCTTGCCTCGAGGGGCGTGGCACAAAGGTGGCTTGTAGAATCAGGAATGTAATATGTTTTACATCACATTAGCTACTTGAAGTAATGCAATTGAGGAAAAAAAAAAGAGAATGTGGAATTTACATGCTTGAAAATGTTTTATATGTTTGATTTTCTTTTTAAATTTTCATTTGAATACGCTTTACATGTTATGTTTATGTATTTTAATTTTAGATAATTTTTTTTTTAAAACATTTATTTTAAAATTTAATTTTATATTTTTATTAATATTATGTATAATATTTTTTGCTTTTTTTTCTGAATTTTTTGGTTTTTTTTTAATTTTCTGACATTTTTTATTTGTTAGCATTTTTGTATTTGTATTTTGCACCTTGCTTCAGAAAGGCACATGCCTTGCCTTGTGCCTTGCACTTTTAAAACACTGCACTTAACAAAGTGCACTAGGACTGATGTGCAAAACTATAGTGTGCTTTCTATCTTGCCAATAACAGACAACACCTCACAACTCTTCCCTTCAAATATTCTATTGTTCCTCTAAATCTAGGATCCAAAGGCAAGAAAGATATACTAGAAAGCTATCATTCATATAGTTACATAGAGCATCTAGGAGAAAAGAAACAAAAGGGGTAAAACAAAGCCTAGTCCTCATCCTCCTTGACCCCTAGATGCTTGTGACAAAGGAGTTCAAAGGAGTCTGTACAGATGATATGAGACGAAATCCGTACAGACTTTCCACTCGATCCCTAGAATTTCTGATTGTCATGGGGAAACCCTTCTCAGGTTTGATGGGACATGGGAGTTCAGAATCAGTTCAGACCAGGTGCTCTTGGGGGTAGACAATATAATATAGGTGGCAACTGAAGCAAACCTAAGGGCCATTCTCATGGGTCCCTATATTGCCAAGCAAGCATCTTATTCTTACCTTCCTTGTTATAGACAGAGATCTGCAAATGTTATTAGAGTCAATATGTGGCTAGCAAGCTTTCACCATTGACTCATCTTCTCAATGAAATTACAGAAATTCTAGCAGGCATAGATGCAGCAGTCTGACAATGTCAGGCATTGAGAGGGTGTTGTTGTACAGTGACAGATTTTTGCCTGAGCAGTTCTTTTTAGTAGGGGTTAAGCTGTCTGTCTATAGCTCTTGTACAATTCTGTACATCCTCTCATATACAAGATTTTTGCCTTATGCTAATACAAAGTCAAATTCCACAAAGTATTGCCTAATTTATTATAATGTTATACAGACCATTACTCAATTAAGCATCCTAGGTCCATTGGCTTCGTCTAATCTTTGACCACGTTCAAACTACAGTTTGATGCTAGTTCCAGAGGAAACCTGATCCATCTGGGATTAATGGGATGTTTTATGGCACCATAAATTGGGTGTTCATTGGGAAAATAGGAGATGCCAACTCTGAAAGAAGCAAAAAGGCTCTACTTTGGGAGTTTTTAACTTTGTATAGCTAAACGACTCCAAATCTCTTACTAATTGAGGATGATTCCAGAAATGTAATCAAACGGCGCCAACAGGTGGGCAGCAACCCATGCATATGATTAATGTCCAGCCTAGGCAGTGCCTTAACAGCAAGAGGTGCAAGAAAAATGCAAGGGCCTTTTAGCGCCTAAGGTGCAAGCCAGCCAAGGAAATCGCAAGACATATGCCTGGACAAAGCAAGACATTTTTTTTGACCGAGTGATAAAATGGGTCCAGACCCGTCGCCTTCAGAAAAGTATGATGAATTGGGTCCAGACCAGTTTGATAAAATTGCAATGGAACAAAATACTAATTCTAACAGCATGCCGAAAAGGGTACACACGTTCCTTAATCTCACTTCCTTGAGATTAAGTATTTGTTAAGCACTGACCTTCTTTATGGTTTGCTTACAACCTCAGTGCAACAAGTTTTAATAAGTGGAAGACTACAGACTCAGGACTGGTGTCTGATGGGGAAGAGGAGGCAAAGCATCATTTCTTTTTTCCTTTTAAAGCAGAGAGAGATCGACTTTTTACAGGCAATACATAATAATCACTTCAGTTAAAAGTATCAATGCATTAGTTGTTAATAGCACCTCTCTGTTGGAATTGAAGGCACAGATCCTATTATGAATAAAAGAAGTTTGAATTCTGAGTTTAATCCAACAGTTTCAAGAATTCGACCGAGTTCTCTGAGATATCATATCTAAATAGATCAAAACCAGCAGTTCAAAAGCTCAAATTTCTTTGTTTCAAGTAATCTCGACAACTAAAGATCGAGGGCGGGGCGAAATATGAGATAAAACCATGTTGAGTAAACTAACCTGAGAATTTGCTCAAGAGTTAGCCGCCCTTCATTTTGCTGCATCTCTGACTGGACAGAGCCACTATACCTATCCATAATAAGATAGAGATGGCCATCCATCCTCGTAGCTCCATGGAATGTACAGACGTTCCTACACCACATCGACGCCCGCCGTAAATTCTCGAGCTGACTCTGAACCCAGACCAAATCCGTCTCATCCCCAATCGTGACTCTCTTCACAGCAACCCGGTGACGACACCTGCCCGACGAAGAAGCCGAAGGCGACCCGGTGGAAAGCAAACCCGACCACATCTCAATCGCAGCACGCCGCCCCTCGCCAAGCCGCCGAACAAGCTTCAAGTCATGATGTGAACTGAGGTCAATTCCCGAGCCGCCGGCTGCACTACAACCAGAGCTCGAAGTATGGCGGCTACGCCTCCGACGGCCAAACCCATCATCGTCATCAGGGTCGGCAGCATCGTCGTTTCCGCCGTCATCATCCTCCTCGTCATCAGTGAAGTCGCAATCGAAGTCCGCCGAAGAATGGATGAGGGCAAGGACAGCGAAGTTCTTCCGGAGGGCGTGAACAGAGTTACCGACGACGGAGAGGTGGCGGCAACGAGGGCACGGGAGAGTAGTGTCGGGCGATGCGGAGAACATCCGGGAGAGACAGTCCTTGCAGAAGCCATGGCCGCATTGGAGCAGGAGAGGAACCCTGTCTTCCTCGTTGTATTTGTTATGGCAGACTGAGCAACAGGGGACCTTCATCTGAGTTTCTGGGTATGTGGGTCTCTATCAGATCAAATCGAAATCGAACCAATCAATCAATAAATGGAAATCAAACAAATTGGGTTCAGAGGGGGGAGAAAGAAACGAGGTAGATCCATGGGAGAAGTGCAAGACAAAGAGGATGAAAAAAGAGACTTTTACTGAATTAAGCAATCAAGGACTGGTTAGGGGAAGAAATTGTAGGTGAAGGGAGTGTAGAGAGAGAGAGAGAAGGGTGAGGAAAGAGAAGAGGAACAGCAGACAGAGAGAGAGAGAGAGAAGAAGCAGAAACCAGAAAGCTTTTTATTCTTCTTTTCTACGCCTTTTCTTTCGCCCTGGCTCTGGCTGGGCTCCCTACGCTCCCAACCCGTTTCTTCCGGCTCTACGACTACTTGATTTTTTTAATTAATTTAGGGCCTAATTAATTAATAGTTAATTATTACAAGTGATCCAATGTAGCCAACGTGTTTTGTCTCATCTATGGGTCCCACTGTTAATTGGAATCAGTTGGGAGATGGCATGCTCAGTCGAGGCGATGCACCGTTGGATAGGAATCGAAAGAGTGGATCCTGATCAGACAGTTGAAAAGGAAGTTAAGAGGTAAACACGTGGTGGTGGAAAAACCTGTTTATATATGTATAATTGTATGTACTGACGCTTGAGCAGGGTTGGTGAATGTGGACACAGGAGTGGAGAGAAGCTGGAGTCACCACTCACCACCATTTGTTGTTTCTGAGCCGCCAATTGGGTGGGCTGCCAATCTGTGGACTGTGGATATATGCGAACCCATAAAGGCATATTTATTGGGTTAAGTTAAGTTGGGCCTGGGTTTAGATCGTAGGCCCACTCAAACATGATGTCAGCACTCAACCCATTTTAGGCTGTGTTTGGGGGGACTCCGAATCTCCTGCCCACGAGAATTCTGTTCACACCTACCCATAATACACTACTTCCATGAATTGGAAACATCCCCTCTGAATAGGATGAGATGCTTTCCATGTATATGACTGAGATAAACGTGGATAGAATTTTCATGGGCAGGAGATCCGGACTCGGGTGGGGGGAGGGAGGTTCTTCTTTTCTAAACGGGCTTCTCAATGAATGACCACTTCTTCAAAAAATGCTGATTGTGAGATGTTTTTTCAACGGGGCTCTTTTATTTATAAAATGACTTTTTCTATATGGAAAAGGTCTTCTAAACGCAGTTATGTGGTGTTTTGAGGGATTGAAAAAGTGTTTTTTGCATTTAATTATTAGAGATGGCAATTTAACTCGTCCCCGTTGGGTTTCATCCCACCCCATCCTGGTCAGGATGGTTTTTTGACCACTGATCGGGTTTAGGGCGGGTTTCAAGGAAATCCGAAATTCTAGGGACGGGAATGTGTGTGTATATATAAATTGCAAATAGGTTTAAGAAAATAGAAAATAAATAAATTGCAAGTAAGAATGACCGAAGAAGGGCGGGACAAATTATAGGATTCTCATTCCCTGCAACAACGTGGATGGGGTTAGGATTTCTAACCCCATTGGAGCATGGGACAGGGTATTTAAGTTCGGAGTCAAGGATGAGGTATGCAAAACCCAATCGCATCCTTTCCCGTTGCCATTCCTATTAAGCACCAAACTTTCATAATTCCATTAATTTTTTTCTAAAAATTTTCCTAGGTGGCTTTAGAGTTTTTTTTTTTTCTGGAATGATCAAAATTCCCATTGAGACCGGGAAGTGGGTGCCCCTATCATCGATGCAAGGTGATCAAGGAAATGTTCAGAAGGGTTGAGGAGAGAATAAGGGGAAAACTTGCTGTCTGGAAGCAACCAAACAAAAACCCTTCTCTATCTCTCTTGTATAACGAGCAACCCTCCTCAAAGCAAAGCTATTGTTAGTTATGAGGTACATCAGATTACCAAAATCTAAACAACCTTTGGGTAGTTTTCGTTTTAGGCTATGTTTGGTTTGAAGGAAAAGATAGGAAAAAGAAGGGAAAGGAAAATCTTGGTCTCAACTCTCCCCTTGAAAAGGAAAATCTTGATCTCAACTCTCAAGCATATGAATTGGGTAAAGATACCTCTGAGTTGAAGTAATACAAAGAAAACTGTAAGCAGGTAAGCCTTTGAAAGGACCCATGGTTAAGTGATGGGTCTATTGCAAACCTAGTGGGTGGTGATATTTTTACCAATTTAGATCTAAAAGTTAAAGAATTTATTGATCAAACTTCTTGAAATTGGGACAAACCCGAAGTTCTAAACCTATTATCAGAAAGCATTTGGAATAAAATTAGAGCAATAAGAGTGCCTTTTGGGAAAATAGGATGATGGCAAGGATGAAATGGGTTTGGAGATATGACTCAAATGGGACCTTCGCCATCGAATAATTTAAATGTTTGAGTGTTGAATCATCTTCCAAAAGTTAAAATATTTATGTTCTTCCTCCTTTGGGCCCAGTTTGGAAAAACTCTCATCTAAGTAAATGTTAAAAAATCATGGCTTAAACATTGGCATAGGATGTGCAATTTGTAGTCAAGATGAAGATCTCCCTCACATTTTCTTGAGATGCCCTTTGGCTTAACATATTTGGTTAACCCTTTACCCAAGGATTCCTAACCCGTTGGATAGGGATTCAAAAATTGTTACATGGTGGATAAGTAAATTAAAGGGGTTTTTATGATTCAGTTCACTCCTAGGTAGAGCTAGCATTTCCTAGGGGTGGACTGAATCCTGCCCGTGGATTGATGTTAAGTTTACGGGCAGGATGTGGTTTATAGGGGGGTTACTGGTAGACTAGGAGGGGGCTGCGAAAAAAAAATTCTGAGGGGGGTTGCAGTCCAAAAATCCCTAAATTAAAACACAATCAATGTTGGGATGATAGATGGACAAAGTTGTAACTCATCTCCCCTCCCTCAATAATTATTGACAAGACTAGTAACTGGGTGTTAGAGTATTTAGGCCTTTTAGATCCGAATATGTGTGAAATGGAATTTAATAAGTTGTGGCAAAGTATTAAATGAAAAGCTCCATGTTGAGACCATATTAAAATCAATTTTGATGCTTCAAGGAAGGAGGATGGTAATTGTGCCATAGGTTGTATAGCAAGAAATCAAAAGGAATAGTAGTGAATATAGAGGAAGCTTGAGCAACTCCCAAGGCCCATGAAATTGTAGGTTTCTTTAGGGAGAAGAAAAATCATCATTGAAGGGGATTTGAATATCATTATTGATAGTTTGAAGAAAAATACAACTCCATTTTGGAGAACCAAAAGTTTGCTAAAGGAGTTTATCAAATTACAAAATCCCCTTATGTTTTGTATGTTCATGCCTTTAAGGAAGCTAATCAAGCAGTGGAATGGTTGGCCATGAAGGTCATTCGATTTTTTCTATAAATTGTTAATAGGTTTAATTGGTCTTTTGTATATTTCTTTTTGTGATTTTGGGGCGAGTTACACCCCCTATTAGGAGATCAAATCAGCCTCCCACAACATCTCACAGTACATCTCCGCCATGTATTGGGAATATCTTCCGATGATAATACTAGAAATGATGATGTCATCATTGGGAGATGTTCCCAATACACAGTGGGAATGTGCTGTGGGACGTTGTGGGGGGGCTGATTTGAACTCCCTTGTTAGTTATCTTCTTAGTTTACTATAAAAGAAGTAAGGTAAAATAAGGCTTTTGAAAATGTAGAAAACTATAAAGAAAAAAAGGTAGAAATCTTGGAGTGAGGATATGTAGTAGATTCTCTTTGGATGTAGGCCATAGATCCAAACCACGTAAGTAGGGGTGATCATGGACTGAGCTTAGGACCTTCATCAAAAAGTCATTTGATCCATGGCATTAAATAACAAAAAAAATTGTGTATTTATAAAATTTTAAAATTATCCGATACGTAACACATGAAAATAATATTGCATAAACCAAAGCTAGGCTAGGCTTGTACATTAAAAAAAAAAAAGGTATGGACTTTAACACATGATTGTCTCACCTTTTGTATATTGCGAGCTAGGCCTAAAGTGTTGAGCCCAAGCCTGAACACAAAACTTGGACCAAACCCAAAATTTCCAAGTCGGGATGTAAATAATCACCCCAACATGTAAGTAACTTTCTCATGGTTTTATGCTTTATTATCTTGAGTTATTTTCCTCTTTCTCTTATTTCATATTTGTAAAGGCATGTTTGAAATTGCTACAATTTGGTACCAAAGCATTTGGCTGGGTTTTGTTATGTTTTTTTATCTCCCCGCTATGTTTTCCAAGGGTGAATGGATGGTTATGTATGTTTTCTAATAAAACTTTGATGTAAATCAAGAAGTGATTCATTGATTCCACAATTTGATAGATTGGGGAGGAAAGTGGAGCACTTGAAGCTTGTGTTTTTCATTGTGCAGGTATGAGGTCAAGGTATTTTTTTAACTAATGATCACTCCTATAAATAAGTACTTTTACTAATGGTGAAAATAGAATACAAAATTTAAAACCAACTTAGAAATTGTGTCATTTTTCTATTTAAAGCGTGGGCTAATGGTTTAACCATCTAGGTCAAATGGGATCCACTAAGAATGCAACTCAGGTTGGCCCGAGTTAGCATTTTACACTACTTCAGGCTCAGACCTTTAGGCTAAGTTCATTCTAATTTTGACAAAAGTTAGACATGAGGCCACCCAAATTGTACCCCTAGGACACCCATGATATTATAATAAAATAATACATTTTTTAATCCATATAGTGCATCAATAGTTCAACCATCTAGGTCAAAGGGATTAACCCATGATGTCATAATTAAATAACACAAACTTAAAAATACAATAAGTTGTAATGAATATAGAAATTTTGTAGAAAAATATGGCCACATATCTAATGTTATATATTCATCATACTAAAAGAATATATGTGATAAATAAAAATCCTTTTATTATTGATGGAACCAAAATCTTTTCTAATATTATATAGTTCAAGCATCTAAACCATGTCCCTACTACCGAGACAAATAGTTTCATTAGCCAGGTTACAATGTTGTTGCCTAGGTCAATGGTTCTTTACAAATAAGCAACTTGTGGTAAATGGAACCAAAATCTTATTTAGGTGATAGGTCAACTAATCTAAATAGTCAGCTTGACTACAAGATAAAACATATTGATACAAAAACAAAGTTTTAAAATTAATTGGGACCATATTTTCCTCTCAATTAGACAAGTCAACTTTTGATATCATAAGTCAAACAATAAAATATTTTTTTAACCCTAAAATTTACTCCCGTGGAGAGGTGGAAACCATTAATTTTATTAATAATAGCCAAAAAAAACCTTACCCCTAATAAAATTAATACATAAAAAAACTTAGAAACAAGGAAATCGAGAATGAAGATAAAGAAGTCC